GATTAAAAAAAAAGGCAAAAGCAAATAAGGTAAAAAGATTTCTAGGAAATTTTTCTAACTCGAACGGTACATTCATATTCATCACTTTATTGGATTTACCTTTTCCAAAAAAAAGTAAAACTTATATTCCACTCAATTCCATTCCATTCCATTTGCTACTCAAACAAAAATGGAATCTTTGTCTTTCAAATGATTATTTTTTTTCTAATTTCAATTTTCAGAAGGAACAAGTTCGTTAAGCTCTTAATTAAATTTTCATTCCATAATTATTCCACCCTGCAGTTAACGAACAATAAATTCTCGCAGGCTTTTAAATTTGCGGTTCCAGATGTTTGCGATTCTTTATTTGGCGCCGCGTTATGGGGTACAGAGTCGCCCAAAAGCATTTGGATCTTGTTCATTAGTGGCAATAAATTGCAGTTGTGTGCGAGGATTATTTTATAAGCCACGAATTTTCTTGCTAGGATTTGCTGTAATTGGTACTGCAGTTTTTCTGCTTGAAGTATGGTCTTTTGACTCAATACTTACTTTTGTATTTGTTTGGTTCCGTTTTTGACAGAAGTCTTTTTTATTTAATCAAACGAGACAAAGGAACTGAATGTATTTTGATTAAACATGGCAAATGTTAAATTTTTGATTTCTTTCAGGAAAAAAAATCATTCAGTTCCTAATTATATTAAGCGAAAAGGAATCCATGTAAAATAAAAAGTTTACTTTAGGCAAAGGTAAAAATTTTGCTAAACCTTATTTTATTAATAAAATATAATTTTTTATCTTAACGATTAAGTATAGAAACAGAATAATTAAATTATTAATTACAAAATTTTCTTAGTGATCTAACTTTCCTAACTAGAATTTTTATTCTTAAAACATTAATATATACACGTTATTAAAAATCTAATATACAAAATTTATTTTTATTTTTGCATATTATTTAAATAATGGTAAAGTTCTAATAGTAACTAAGACGTGTTTTTTTTTAAATCTCGCGGACTAACAACAAATTTATATTAATTTATGAAAGGAAATTTATGCTAATAAAAACAAGCACTTGGCGAAATATTGATAATTAAAGTTTTTCATGAAAGTATTGCTAATAATCCCGTTAAGAATTATATGATTATTGATCACATTATTTCAAGTGGAAAATTCTTGATGTTAAATGACAAATTTTGCGTGACCTTTTAAATGAACTAAAACTTTCTCTGATGGGTATAACCAAAAATGTTGTTAACATACCCCAAATGAAAAATGTAAAAAAAAAAAAAATTGTTGCATGATAAATTTAATAACAAAAATATAAATATAATATAATATAAATTTCGAAATGCATACTTAAATTCGATTAAAATTGGTTGTTTGACATTCAGCACCAACTTCATAATGATTTTTCCATACAATATTTGAACTAAATGAAGTATTGGTACATATTCAGGAATAATAATAATTATAAATATTTTTTTTAATTAGATTAATAAAGAAGTTATATTTCTTAAATGCTTTACAAGTGTATAAATAGCATTAGACACTAGTATTATAACAAAATCGCACAAATCGCTAGTCTTATCAAAACTATTTTATGCACATTTTAAAACATATACAATTAAAATAACATGATAAATTTAAGTGTTTCACTTTATTTTAATTTATAGTATTAATTTTTTATTTTCATTAAATTTTTTTGAAAATTTATCGTGGTGTGCGTGAGTTGATAGTGTTTTAAATGACATTAATAATAATATTTTATTATATTACTTATTTTCTTTGCACGCTTTTCTTTCATGTTTGAGTGTGCGCAAACATCACATAGAAAATCAAGGTACAAAAAAAAAGTTTCAACATCAAATGTACACCCTATAAAATGTTTCTTGTAGTGCTATACATAAATAAAATAATAAAGAATCAATACAAGTTTTGCATATTTTTTATAATGTTTCCTTTTCTGCATATAAAAAATTCCCAAAACTAGTAACTTGAATGTAAATGTACAGAAGAAGTCCTCAATAGTAGGTTTTTTTTCTTTTGTAGTTGTTATTAATGTGCAGTAGAGCTCACGACCATCTGAATATGTACTGTACCATATCTTGATTGCGTATAACATACAATGATATAAACAACCAAGCTAATGGCACGAACATATTTGATCCGAAATAGCACCGGGAATTTTCAAATCAATACTTTACACTTTGCGCAGCCCATTTCTTGGTAATCCGAAAAGCTATTTGCAAACCACATCTCTCGAAAACGAGATCACAGCATTTCGCGCGAAAATTCCATCAAGGGGGGAGCTCGTTCCCTGTCAGCGCCACCGGCAGCGATTGTGGTGGGGGTGTGGAGCTCCATTGTGCGGCGGGAATTTCGCGCCCACTGACAATCACTGTGACGTCGTTCTCCAATATCGAGGTGCTCGTGGTGATGCAAAGGGGCGCTGCACGGGTTGCTTTACAATGATGCCTCTTGTTCGCATACAGCATTGAATAAACGTTCGGGATTGTTAGTAAAGGGCGAGAGAGCAGTTTCTAAGCAGGGGCGGTCATTAAAGGAGAGTCAGGCGAATTGGGGAAGTCAATAATACCGGTGCTGTAGAGCGGTAAAAAGGGACTTTAAAGGTATAAAGGCCAATGCTGAATTCTTGTTTCGTTTTAAATAATTATTTATAGTTTAAACACATATTATTCAATATTTCAAAGGTAAGGTTCATAAACAATATTCATGAAACTCTAATGAATTGATCCATAAAATTCAAATATCAAAAATATCACATAACACCCTAATGCTTGTATGGTTGTCAGAGGTGATCACACTATATATTGAAGTTGATCACTTAATTTATATTGGATACTGTTTTTTTGTGTGTGTTTGTGCATTTTGTGTATTTTCAAGACAGAAAATAAGCCCTTTTTTATTCTTATTGTGAGAACTGTTTGATAATTTTTTTTTTTAATTTCATTCAATTCCAGCTGACAGAAATTTCACATTTTGAAAGGTTTTATTTCTTTTTAAATTTTTGGTATTTATTCTGCAGTGTAAAATGAAAATAGTTCTGATATAGTTAAGAATTTCAAAATAGATACAAAAGATAACAAAATAAATTATATAAATGATATAATTTCTTGAATATGTTAGACAGCATATTAACTCCTAAATATTATGTTGCCTGAGTGGTAACAATGTTTTCACATTTCTTTTTAAAATTCTAGTCAAGAAAGGTTAATAGTTTTAATTAATTTAGTTAGCATTTAAAGATAAATTTAGCAAAAATAAATTTATATAAAATTAGAGCTATACAGAACTTATAAATATTTAAATGCACAACAAAGGACATTTTCATACAAATTAAATTGCAAACAAACGATATTGAATCTATTTAAACATAACTTTTGTATTTTGAAAATTAAATTATATGCTGGAAATATAAAAAGGTTTATTTAATTTTCATCGTATAGATTTTATTATATTTGTCTTTGCAATGAATCAATCTTTAGCTAAAAACAAAAAATTCTCCTGGCTCTTTAAAGCTAAAAAAATTGATGATTTTTTAAAAAAAATTACCATACCGAAATTACCATACAAAAAAATTACCATACAAAAAAATTACCATATACAAAAAATACCATCCGAACAAATGTCTCAAAAAGAAAAAAAAAATGTTTTTCTAAATAATTTCAACTGTATATAGTGTGTCATTTAGAGCTTTTTTAATATTCCCTTCTGCTTAAAAACGTTAAAACTTCCAAAAAAGAATCAGAAAGAAGAATAAATATTCAATTTCGCGCATGTCTTACACAGTTTAACGGAACACAAAAGAGAAAATAAACACGAAACTGAAGGAAGAAAAGTCGAGGAATAAAGAAAAGAAAGAAAAAACAATCGGATTTTTCAGAAAACCGTTTTCGGGAGTCATTTAAACTGCTTCTCTATTGCCCGGTCGAAAGCACAAAATAACGTCATTTGCATCCCCTCGCTCCCTATCGAGATGATTTTAATCGACATGGGTTCTGTGAAGGAACTACTTTCTTCCGAGGAGGTAGACTCGAAAGGGACGATGTAAATTGGATGCGGAAGATCACAATCGAGATGTTTGATAGATGATTCGTAACTTCGATTTGGATTTTTTTTCCTTACTTTGAATTTCGCCTGTACTATCATTCAGTATATAGAAAGGTATAAATATTTACAAAAAAGGAGAAAAATCCTTAAAATGGCACATCGGCGAAAATATAAGAACATTTTGTGAAAAACGTTTTATGCTTTATATATATATACATATGTTTTAAAAATTTTTAGGCTGCATATATATACATATATTTTAAAACGTTTTATGCTTATGCTTTATCTCTCTTAACTACTTCTCTCTCTCACTGTTTGTATATATATGCACTCAAGAGCCAAAACATTATGACCACCCCTACATTTTGCAATGAGCTCGCCTGGATGACGTGGAAGGCAAATGATCGGGTGTAAGTGGTATTTAACTGGTATTAAATACTGGTATTAATCCATGCCTTGGCGGGTTGAAGCTGTGTTGCGCTCCAAAGGTGGGTCAACTCGTTATTGACAGGTGGTCATAATGTTTTGGCTCTTGAGTGTATATATAAAACTGGTGTTGTATATAAATTTCTATACCGTTGAACTAACCGCTATAAAATTGGTAATAATATGTATATTCGAATGTCGAAAATAGATTCGCGATATATAACTTTCTACAATGAATAATTTTTTTTGTGTTGTTGTTTCTAATCCCACTTGGCTGGCCAAGCCCACGAGCCCATACGTGCTCATGATTGAAGGGGAAGGAAGCAGCTTCTGTTGTGATGGAGCACCCGTAGGTAGACGCCTGACTTTTGCTCCGTGACGCTCTTACAGTCATAGGAGACCGGGACCTACGGCTTAAAGTGGATTCCGAACCACTACAAACATCCATGGCACCGCCGAGATTCGAACCCGAAACCTGTGGCACCGAGCGCTAGACACTCGGCCATTCAGGTCCCAAATTTGCCAACGGCACGCGGTGTTCCCAGGTGGTCAACCACCCAAGTACTGACCGCGCCCAATGATGCTTGACTTCGATTTTTTTTGTAGTATTGTATATGCTAGTAATGCTAGCAATATACATATATATATATATCAGCCCAGTAGGGGCCTGATGGCTAGCGCTCAGTACCAGAGGTTTCGGGTTTGAATCCCGGCGGTACCATGGATATTTGAAGTGGTTCGGAATTCACTTTAACCCGTAGGTCCCGGTCTAACAAGATCGTAGAAGGTTGCAGGGGTATTGTTTCTTCGCGCCCGTAGCTTATCTTCAAGCTACACTCCAAACCTGGGTAAACCTAAGTGAGTAACGTCGCCGGTGCTTACCTTAAGGCATAAAAGACAACTGTCTAAGTGCTTGCTAGCTATATTAGAAAAAAAATATCAGAAGAGCAAAAATTGGTGAGAAATATGCCTCTCCTTCTGTCGAATACCTGGATCTAAGGTCTCTAATTGTAAATCGATGATGTGCAAGCACGAAATCTTACGATTTTAAGTGATCGTTACTTACTCGATACTTGCGTTTACATACGTTAGATTACATACATACGTTACGTTTATTACTTACGAAACTTTATGTTTTTACGATCTTAATAGCATAATTTTTATGGGTAGGGTTGTCAATCCTACGTCCAACGTTTTACAGTCATATTAGACAGGCATCTGCGGCTTAAACTGGATTCCGAACCACTACAATTATTCATCTGGACTCGAACCCGAAGCACCGAGTGGCGATTCGGATTTAGCATTTTTAAATACACTTTCTTGTTTATTCTTTGCAAATATTTGCTGTGCAGAAATCGATTTTCACATAAATTGCAAAAAGCTATTTTGAGTGATGAACTTTCAGATATAAATGAAGAATATTAAACGAATTAATAGAGACCGACGATCGAAAAACGAAGAAGGTATAATTCGATGATATATAATAATATAATAATTCTATAATACCAGTTAATATATGTAATAATACTATAATACCAGTTAATATATATAATAAATCTACAATACCAGTTAAAATATATAATAATTCTTCAATACCAGTTAATATGTATAATAATTCTATAAGAACAGTTAATATATGTAATAATTCTATAATATCAGTTAATATATGTAATAATTCTATAATATCAGTTAATATATATATAAAAATTCTATAATATCAGTTAATATAGATATAATAATTCCATAATACCAGTTAATATAGATATAATAATTCTATAATACCAGTTGCTAGTGAAAGCACTGGTAGGGAAGAAGATAATTAAGTGCCTTCGATAATTAAAAAGTGCCGAAGATAATTAAGTTAAACGAATTGTTAAAACAGGCATGTAAACTGTCTTATTCAATTCCTTCTATTAGCTCACACTCTTCCTATATATATCTTGTTCACATTTTCAATCGTTCATACAATACTTTTTATTCATCCACTCAAGTTCAAATACATTTTTTTTCAACTTGTAGTGGATAACACTCGATGTTAATGCAGTTTTTTCAAATATTAATTCATTCATTAAATTTAATTAATTAATTTTAGTTTTTTTTTAGATTTATGTTGTATGTATCTGCCAATAGATGGCGCCAGATAAACTTAAAAAAATGAATGAAAATGATTTATAAAGAACTTTCTGTATTATAGTGAAAAAAAAGTAGGAATTGACTTAATTTTTTTTATATTACTTATTTTACAATTGAAATTAATCCAAAGAACATTTAGCGAGAGGCGCTGAAGATTTCATCTCTCCTGGCAGCGAAAATTTTATAGAATGGCGCCAATAAATATTCGAAATTATCAGTTTTTAAAATAAATAATTGTATCATTCGCTTACTTATTAAGTAGTAATAATAAAAGATAATTGCATCAGCCATTTACTTATTAAATATTAATAAAAAATAAATAAAATTAAATAATAAATAAAAAAAAGGGGGCCTGATGGCCGAATGTCTAGCGCTTTGGCGTTCAGTAACAGGTATCGGGTTCAAATCCCGGCATTGCCATGGATGTGTGTAGTGGTTCGGAATACATTTTAAAACGTACGTCCTGGTCCTAATAGGATCGTAGAGCGCTGTGGGGACATTCTTACTCCGCGTAAGTAGTTTATCTTCAAGTTACACGCGCCCCCTGGGTCATGTAAAGTGAGAAACATAGGTGCAGCCCTTATGGCGAAGATCACGGTCTATTTGCCAGCTGCATTAGAAGAAAAAAAAAAATTAAAAAATGTATCAAGTATTTGCTTACTGAGTAGTAATAAACAAAATAATTGTATCAGCCATTTATTTCTTGAGTAGTAATAAAAAAATAATTGTATCAGGCATTTACATATTGAGTAGTGATAAAATAAGAAAATGTATCAGCATTTACTTCTTGAGTAGTAAAAAAAAAAATAATTGTTTCAGAAATTTACTTATTTATTAGTAACAAACAAAATAATCTTATCAGATCTTTACTTATTAAGTAGTAATAAAGAAAATAATCGTATTAGGCATTTACTTATTAATAAGTTGTAATAAAAAAACTTTGTAATTAACATTTAATTTTTCATTTTAATTGCACTACTATTTAGCTTTATTTTCATTAAACATACTTTTTTTATTTGAACTATACCAAACACATTTTTTCATAGAAAATTAACTTTGCGATGAGTAATTTTGCCTTGCCCGCAATGCATTGATGACACTAGTGTTAAAATACATTACACTTTTGTAACTACTGGTTAATTTACTTAGCATGTTTCTATATCAGTAGGAAATAACTAACTTATTTAAATATTCAGTCTACGTGGGAAATTTAGGAAAAATATTTGATTAATGATCACAAAATTAATTCAGTCCTTAAAAAGGGGAAAAGGTTACAATGATGAGACCAGTTCTGGTTGACAAATATTTTATTTACAATAGATTACACACAGAAAAATACCTGCAGTTAATTGCAAAAAATAAATAATTAAATAAAAATAAAAAAATATATAAATAAATAATAAAAAAATTAATAAATTAAATAAATAAAAATAAATAATTAAATAAATAAAAATAAAGAATTAAATAAATAAATGAAAATAAACCCCAAAGAAATTGACATTGAAGACATAAAACAAGTCTTGGTCACTACTGTGGAAGCTTAGTCAACCTAAAGATGGCGCTACTGATGCCCTGCAATTGCCATTGCCATATTCACGAACGGAGAGGTTACTAATCTTTATTAAAAATAAAATAAGTTACATTTTTCTCATTACAGTAAGTTACATTATACGTATATACCATATACAAAAAAGTTTATTTATAGTTATGGTCATACAGATTGTCTTCGATAATTTTTAAAAAGTGAATTTTGGTGTGGGTGTATATAGAGAAGATAAAAGTACAAGAAGGTGGAACTTTTTTTTCACTTTCTCTCTTTTATTTCGCACCTTTTCACAAATCACTTTTTTTATTGACTTTCTTTTATCTATGGGACTGATAAAAATATATACATTTATTATAGGATGATTTTAAATTTTTAATTTTCACAAATTTTTATTTTTTTTTTATTTTTAACGTCTTTACACATGAATTATTACTGATTAGAACGCTTGGGCTTTTATACTAAATAATAATTTGTTAAGTATATGATCAAATATCTGAAAAAAAAAGGTCCGAATAAACATTACATTTGGAAAAAAAAAATTGTACTTCAAAGTAAAATCGATTATATTCTTGAAAAAGAGAAAAGGGGGTTTTGAATATCACCATTTGTTTTATCTGGTTAGAGTAAATAGTGTGTAGGCCGTATAATAGAGTAATAGTTAAATTGAAAATAAGAATAAGAATAAACGTGAAAAGTTAAAAAAATGTAATTTGATATTATAAGACATTATGTGGGTGTTATTGTTAATTATTTAATTGATATTACGAGACCATTTTTTGCGAAGCCAAGTTTAAATTGTTTTTTTCTCAAGTTTTCCTTTCTTCTACTTTTGCGTATAGATAAAATTTTAATAAGGTTTGAATTTAATTTTTTACCCCATAAATGAAAATTGCATAATAAAAATGTAGTTATAAAAATTCACTTTAATTTTAATTAATCAAGTGGAAATTTACTATGAATCCTTCTTTTAACAGATTCACTCCTCTATACTTATAAATTAATATTTGTATTTGAATAACTATGGTTCATAATGTAAATTATTTGTATGTATAAAAAGTAGTTAACATTAATATTTAATAATTTATAAACAATTTTAAACAAAACCCTATAATGCTTGATTTCAATTTTTGTTATTAATGTTTCTATTTAAAATAGGGCCAGAATGGCCGAGTGGCTATCGCTCGGTACCACAGGTTTCGGGTTCGAGTCCCGGCGGTGCCAGGGATGTTTGTAGTGGTTCGGAATCCACTTTAAACCGTAGGTCCTGGTCCTAATAGGATCGTAAAGCACGTGTCCTATTGCACCTGGGTAATGCAAAGTGAGTAACGTCTGTGCAGCGCTTGCCTTAAGGCATCCAAGACCAAGCTGTCTAAGTGTTTGCCAGTTGCATTGGAAAAAAAAATTTAAATGATTATGTTCTAATTTTCGTTACGAAAAAAAAATGCCAGATTATATTCTACATCAGGGGTCTCCAAACTTTCCAGCCTTAGGGCCATATTGTTTAATCCAGTAAGTACCAAGGGCGAAAACCGTTTTAATTTTTCTGCCATTATCTATAATTTCTAGACTAGTCGCCAAGTGCGTGCTCTGAGCGAGCATACGCTTCCTAAATTCGCTGGCTCAATTACTACAATTACTATTGTGCATGTATATCGATGTTTGTTTTTTTATCCAACTTATTACAGCAACAATAAGCTATTCGCTGTCGCGGGCCGGATTTGGCCCGCGAGCCGTAGTTTGGAGACCCCTGCTCTACATCAATGGTTCTCAAAGGGTACTACATCAATGGTTAAAAAGCGATTTTCGGGTGCGCCCTTTAGTATTATAAAGAAATATGTGCCAAGATATAAAAATAAATACAGTTACTTTTTTCTTTCAATTTTAAAGATAACTTTCATTATAAACAACCAATTT